AAAGGGGGTTAATTTAATTTGAGGAAAAAAGGTGCAAAGGGTGCAGTGAAATGCTGTTGGAAACAAATATGGTTTTGTACAAAATGTATTCTGTACATACAGTACATGTACATACTATGTACATGTAGGAAATTCGAATTTTTTTTCTTCAAAAACTGTCCTTGTATATTCCCACCACAACAAGAAACCTCCTTTTTCCTTCTTTCGATGTCTATAGCCTGTAACCCTCTGAACATGTCTTTTGTTTTGGGCACAAAGAGATCCTGGACTGGATCACGGTCCATATGTTATCAATACTGATTGTGGGGCGGGAACCAGCCTACCCTGCAAGAATAAAATTGTCTGGCAGCCAATAATTCAAAGAACCAATTCAATTATAGAGTTGTATAAATCAGGCATGCAACTGTAAATTCACCAAAAACATGAAAAAAGAGGAAATTCCAAAATTCAGAAGACTTTGTACAGTGATTTTCATTTTCGAATGGCAGAAATGAGAATAAAAACAGGGGAAATCAGCTGATCCGAGGAAAAGTTGCATGCCTGATATACATGTACCGGTACATGGGTTTTATCGATCAATGTCTCATTCAAAAGTGACTAACTTTTTGTAGATTGCTAGAAAAAAATACTACCGATTTCTGTTTCGTTTTGGATGAAACTCGAAAAATAAAATGGGGAACACATCTTTATTCCTTGAAGCCAACATCCAGGATATATTTTTATCTTAACTTGTTGACAAAAGTTTGACAAATTCAGAGTGCAGTTGCAAAGTACATGTACGGTATCACACCATATTATAAACATGTTTTGATGACACCAAACTGATCTGCTAATATCTAAACCATGTACATGTAAACTTGGTATCTACTGTAGCTATTTCTTGTGAAAGCATCTTTGAATTCCACTTTTGGTCTTCTAGTCTCTTTATTTAACCCGTATGTAGCCTCAATCCTGCAAAATCATCCAATTGGCCTCATGGAAAAATAGCATTTAGCCTCAATCCTGCAAATTCCTCCATTACTTCTTGAATATGGTCTGAGGAGGGGTGACCACTACCTGAATCCTGCAAAATCCTGCGGCAGTGACTGTCAATACATTTGTATAGGCTTGGCCAGTGACATCCTGGAGCAGTACGGAGGATTTGAAGTACATGTACATGTACATGTATGTATACATGTGTATACACGTATAATTCCAGGCCTATATTTATGCATGGCTGAGCAAAAACAACACAAGGTCCAGCCCAAGACCTTGACAAAGTGCATCCTACGAAAGCAGTAAAGCACTTTTGCCATGTAACCTCAATCCTCCCAATTCCTCCACTCATGGCAAAGAGGATTTTGAAGGATTCAGGGCGGTTAGGGTCAATAAAAAAAACTTTTGTTCACTTACAATTTAGAGTAGTTGACAGTTACTACAAATGTTAATTTACTCAATGGAAAAGTTCACTCTGTAACATGATTTTGCTGACACCAAATGTTACAGAGTGATAGTATTTTTAGCGGGCATGTCAAAATTATACAAAGTTGCCGGTTCACCGATATTCTAATATTCATTTTTGGGTTATCATCAATGTTAGAATTAAAAACGACCAAATGTATCCATTGAAAGAATGAGAACCGTGCACCATTGGACAAGCTGTAAAAATGTCACATAATCTAACCTAAAATGTCGTAATTCTGGCTATTTTTTGCTCAAAATTATACAAATGCATTGTGGTGATTCAATACATTTATGTAATGAGCAAAATCGTATTAAAATTGGAGGATACAAGGACTGTTACAAAATGTAGGGCCATACAGTGTATGACATATGTACAACTGTACAATGTACTCGTATGAGCTTTGAATCACATCAAAAGAACTCCCTAGCATGGTTTACTAGGGACCATACCCATCCTGGCAAATTCCGAACCATATGAGAAACTGCACACACATATTTCTGACTTTGATTCTGGAGGTGTGCCAACCCAATGTAAAAGACTGTCAGTTTATTAGGGGTACTGTGCCCATCCTGACAGATTGCAACAAAACATGCTGTTGGGATTTGATGGGTTGAGTTCTGTTCTAGATAAAGGATTTTAAAGTTGCTACATGTAGAACTTCCCCAATATTTTTCAGGCCTGAAAACAGATTTTGTTTCATTAAAGTTGCGAATATTCTAGATACTAAAACAATTTTGTTGTCACTTTGAAACGAGACATCAAAAACAATCACTTCACGAAAATGTGGAATTATTTGCGGACAAACAATAATTCATGCTATCATTTGTGTATTATGGGTGCCATTTAGCAACCTAAAAATATTATTTTCAGTGGGCGGAAAACATCTTATTTCAAAATTTGTTAGGAGAAAAAACTTTACTCTGGCAGGGCAACTTTAAAATTTGGAGACCCCACAATGAGCAAGCCTATCTCAGATCAGATGTCCAGACATAAAAAAATAGACGGAGAGATGCCGGGACATACCCCGGTATCTACACTGATATGAATCCATTATAATGCGAGTGCACTTTTTACAGTCCATGACCTCGTGTTGTCGGGTGCGCAGCGTGGCCTGCCACACAAACACAAGGTCATGAACTGTACACATGGGCATCAATCGGTAGGGGATGGGGGGGGGGGACAAGTTGCCTCCCCCCCCTTTTTTTAAAGTGGGGGGGGGGGATATCATATACATGTGCATGATTCGGAGTACCAGCTAAACACCGTGCGTGACCTCAGAAACTCAAAGGTTTTGCTCGTACGTTTGTTGTGTCGAGGTAATTTTTTCCCCTCAAATTTCTTGGCAATACAAGATCCTACATGTACACATACACAGTAGATGCTGGCGCGTGAATTTACAGAAAGTTACTGGCAAAATGACGTGCCGTGTGACAATTTTGAGTGTATTTACGCGAGGCTGGAGCGTGACGTTGTTACTGACGCCACGTTTAGGGGTCTTCTCTACGACTAGGTACCCTTACTTTGGAAATTGCTGACCTGGATGAGAGGATAATCTTGATCAAAATCTGTAGCAAAATCACTACATCACTTTTTTAGTGTGTAGGCCTATACAGTATCTCGTAGGGAGTAATGCCACTCTGGCTGCACAAGAGCTTGTGATAGTGTACGGCCAGAGGTAGTCAAGCTACATGTAGGTCCCTACCACTACTCAAAAAGTAACAGTTAAAAATGTCAAACGCCAACGTCATTTACCAACATTGGCAACAATGATTGTGATGACAACCGATCGAGTTATAACGAAACTAGTCGGGGTAACTTGCACCCAACTTATCGCCTTTTTAACATTCGGACATGGTCTGGAGATAGTCATGATAGTAGGGTCCAAGCTAATCCATATGCCGAGCAACACAATTTTGTCCTTGACCCAAAAACCCAACATTGCCCAACAAAAACATCAGATTTTACCCTCAAAATGGCCTACAAATTACTAGATACGCCACCTGAGGTACAAGTAGACATCGATGATTAAGAGGGTTGTACTGAAGTTTACTTACGATCCGGAGGAAAAGTGAAATTTCACGTTCAATTCCGAGAGCTCCCCTCCCGATAGCGAACACGTTAAATTTCTGACTCGTGTTAACGTTTGAACGACGCGATGTGGTCTTTATGCCCAGCATTCATTCCATGGTCCCCGTATCCCGAGTGCGATTCCGTTACCAAGCGCAATGCATCGATTATGATAATGAGAAGACCGGATCACGTTTGTAAACACAAGTGCATTTTGAACGGTAAAAGGGAGTCGGGAACTAGCTTGAACTGGTTTCCGCCCATAAAAGCTGCCCTAGTTCCCGACCCCCTATTATCGTTCGAAATGCACTTGTGTTTACAAACGTGATCCATTCTACTCATTATCATAATCGATGCATCACGCGCACTTGGTAACGGAATCGCACTCAGGATACGGGGACCATCGAATGTACGCTGGGCATGAAGACCAAATCGCGTCGTTCAAACATTAACACGAGTCGGAAATTTAACGTGTTCACGATCATGAGGGGAGCTCTCGGAATTGAATGGGAAATTTCACTTTTCATCCAGATTGTAAGTAAACTTCAGTACAACCATCTTTATTATCGATGTCTACTTGTACCTCAGTTGGCGTATCTAGTAATTTGGAGGCCGTTTGGAGGGTGAAATCTGATGTTTTTGTTGGGCAATGTTGGGTTTTGGGGTGAATGACAGAATTGTGTTGCTTGGCATATAAGGATTAGCTTGGACCCTACTATCGCCAGACCATGTCCGAATGTTAAAAAGGTGATAAGTTGGGTCCAAGTTACTCGGACTAGGTCCAAGTTACTCGGACTATAACGAAACCACATTGAGGAAAGAAAGTTGCAGCCTGACGTCTGACGACACTTTTTCTTTTACTTCATCATCTCAGTACTAAAAGTCAGTCAATGTGCCAAAATAAATCTGGGATTGAGTGAAAAACATTTCCAGTTTTGTTAGGAAATGAAAATTATGTTCTTGACTCTCCATAGCCCCACAATTTACTGGACTACCTCCGTAAACGTATATAAACATAGGCCACACATCCACCATGTAGGCCTACAAAAACGTGTCGAACTTTGTCAAATTTTGATTTTCACATGATTTAGGCTTAATTCATAGGTTTTTTTTGCTAAAGAAGCATACTCACCCTCTTTATTAATTATAGGCCAATCAGAAAGTGCTGCCTTTTTCACTTTCAGATGTCAATTTTTCGTGAAATTTCCAGATTCGTTTGCACACGTTTGTGTATCAAAATTTCAACATTGAAATTTCATGAAAAAATGAGACATCCGGAAAAGGCAGCACTTTCTGATTAGCCTATAAGTATAAAGAGGGTGAGTATGCTTCTCAAGCCAAAAAACCCTACAAACTAAGCCAAAATGTGAAACTAGACTCTCCATAGACTTTGCACACAACCTGTCAAGTGTCATTCCGCCGCGCTGAACATGCTCATGGAAGTACCGTCGGATACTACCTTCTTTCCCAAATGGACTGTTTTTATTACCTGTTTGTTCAGACATGTTGCAGTTTCACGTCTCGCCAACCATAAACTGGTTGAGATTTTCTTCAGTTGCAAAAGGATAAATGAAATTATTGAAATGTTTTGGAGCGTCCAACTGCACTTCGGACTTCTGTCGTCTGTCAGATTTCTGCATTCGCCAAATACCGGCGCCCAATTGGGCTACTTTTTGTTTTTCGGTACCATCTCAATGTAGCTACAATGTATCAATAAAAACTGGGCGCTTTGAAGAGAAATTGGGCGATTTGTTTCTTTCTGTCAGTAGGGGGCGCTATATTAGTCGATTCCTCGGAGAGATTTTACATTTTGTTCTTTGCCAAGTTGTGTGTTCAGTGGATGATTATGTGGATTTATTTTGCGAGATGAATAAGGGGGTGGATGTCAAAAAAAGTAAATAATCTGCTCTTGAAAAGGGCGCTTGTGCGAAAAAAGGGCACGCGTGAAAAAAACTAGTGAGCGCATACACTCGCCAAAAACTGAACTTTTTCTCAAAAAATAGTAATGCCCTTTTTTTCACGAATGTCTTTTTTTCACGAGTGCCTTTTTTTCAGGATTGCCCTTTCTTCACGCATGCCCTTTTTTCACGAATGCCTTTTCTGCACGAATACCTTTTTTTTTCACGATAGTGCTCTTTTTTTGACGAGTGCCCTTGTGAAAAAAATTGGCACTCGTGAAAAAAGGGCTCTCGTTACAAGTTTTCGCCCCCCCCCCAGCTGGACAAAAGATAGGCTCCGATTGATCAAATACAATGTTATGCAGTAGTATTATATCGTCCGCATGAGTGGTGATTTTATTTTTGAAAACTTACCCCAAAAAAAGTTTTCCCAGAAACCGTTTTTGATGTATTGAGGTGAAAACTAAATTGTCTTTAAAGGACCAAGGTTCGTCTTTCTTTCACTAATACAAACTAGAAACGTCAAAATAAGTCACCATTTGAAGCAAAATGAAAATTTTACACAGTACATTATTTTATAGTCAACTTATTATTAATACACAGATACTAGTCGACAACAATAAAGACAACGGGTACATTATTGAGCGGAGCTGTTGATAAAATATAATATAAATAAATACACCAAACGATCGATCCCAACAATTAAAACAATGTAAAAATCAAAGGTGCAAAAAAAGTCGACATAAACAGGAATGAAAAGACGTTTATAATAAAACGACCTCAAAATCCAACAAAACACTAAAGCCCAAGGCAAAACTACAAGCTCTGCCTACCCAGGCCCATTAAAAGAAAATGATTTTCAAATTAAATCAATAAATTATATATCTAGATAATGTTATCTTAAAAGGGCAACGGCGTGTAGTGACACGGGAGATGAATCAATGATGCATATGTACGAGCGATGACATGGAATAGTTTTGAAAATCTTAAAGAACAATGCAATTTAAAAAAAATAAAAAAAAATAAGGACAACTTAGTGCAAAACAATAACTTTTTTAAAGAACATGATTTTCAATTGCGAACAGTTTTTCCAGAAGACTACAAAGGCCGTTGAAGATGTAACATAGGCGTTGAGCTTCAGCAATAGGACATCGTGCGCGTTGTGAGGTCTTACATGTATGTGATATGAAATACAGGGTGAGTAAAAGAAAAACACCAAATGTCGGGACCATTGTTTTAGTGACGTTCTGCATATAGCACTTGCAAAATCTAGGATATGAAAGCTCAATTCATAAGCTTTCTTTTAGTACAAAAATCATTCAAATCACTCATGTACTTTTCAAGTTACGGAGTTTTAAACACAACCGCCGTTTAAGGGTCTGTCCACGGATCACAAAAAGTTCAGTGTTCTTTCAGCAAAACAAAATCAAATCACATGTAAATTGTTTTCGTTCTGCTGAAAGAACACACAAATTTTATGTGATCCGTGGACAGAATTTACGGTGGTTGTGTTTAAAACGCTCTAACTTGAAAAGTACATAAGTGATTTGAATGATTTTTGTACTAAAAGAAAGTTTATGAATTGGATTTAGATTTTGAATGTGCTACATGCAGAACTTCACTAAAACAATGGTCCCGACATTTGGTTGGTTTTTTTTGTGACTCACCCTGTATATTAATACATCAGTTTTAATCATCATTTTTTACATACATCAATTTTTTTAACCAGAAACAAATGACAAAAAGATCGAAGGCGTAAATCAGCATCTTGTAATTCCCCAAAACAATACAACAGTTAAACAAAAATCCCATTACAACTGATTTTTAATTCCATTCATTAAAAAGAAAGTAATTTGCAATTTTTATACAAAACAATTCACTTTTCGTTTGGAAATTATTTTTAAAAAAACCCACGATGGCACGTAGTGAAATGAAGCTGTAATTACTGAATGAAATAAATGAATACATAATGTTTCACTTATTTTGCAAATACGCAATGTCTGGTCAAAGTTAGATTGAAGTGGGGAAAATATAAAGCAGTCAAACAGGAAAGAATATTGCACCCTGACGCCTCTTTTTTTTTAAATTATATAGGACCCAATCATCTCAATAAAGGTCAGAAATTGCAGAAAATGTTGAACAGACATGAACCTTGGACTGAGAAACATTTCAATTTTGTCAGGAAATACTTTTAAAATGTTCTTGGCTCTTCACAGACTTTGTACACAACCGCTGAAGTGGATTCTGGATACTACATTATCATCGTCAAATAATATAACACAGAGACATCTGAAGCATTGGACAATTGTCTTTTTTTCCATATGTTTTTAAATAGATTTCTCAGGAGAGTCAGTCTTTCCAAAGAAACCCGTCATTGCCTGTGAGCTCGACTAATGCCCTGTTTGACGGTTCGTAGAATTTCTCCAGTAATTGCCTCGTCGACGGCAGCATGGGATTCTTCTTCTTCCGACCGGACGACCTCAAGACGTTCTCCTTTCCGATGGTGATCTTCAAAGTGTCTATCGTCAGGATGTCCCTCATCTCATCCTTGGTGACGTCTGGAAACAAGGCCACGAGATAGACAGTTGTCACAGTGGTACCATTAGACATGCACAAAGTTAAATGGGACGCAATTATTTTTTACGCAACCATAATTATGACCATATTTTTCAACTCGTATGATTCATTCCAACCAAATGAATGTGAAAAGCTTACCAATGTCAAGAAAGTGATACGTTTTCAGTAGCATGTCTGGTTTCTGACCCTTGAACCAGTCGTCGCTCCGCAGAAACAGCACTTGCTCGAGGGGGAATCGCCGGAGCCAGTCTCGGACGTAGATCATATACAGCCCGACAAAGATGCTCTAAACCATTGGGGAAAATATCGGACAAAAAGAGTAAAAGTAAGCTGTGGTGAGCTGTAAAAAGAAACGTATAACAACAATCAACTTGTTTGTGCCGTATGAAAGAGTCACTTCAACCTAGGATCATTGGTCGACTGGTTGTTGATTCGTGACGTAACTCCGTCGGGCCCCCTACGCAGCAACGTGCAAACCTCATAACTAACCTTCTTGGTTCCACTCCTGGCTCTCATATCGGTAAGAGGCTGGTCCCGTTGTCATATGAAAATCGGACTCGTATGAAAATCGGACTTTTTCCCCCTTTTATTGGTTAAACCCTCTCACGTGACCGGTCCCTCTCCTAATTATCTATGCATGAGCATGCGCAATACCACCAATGAGTCCGTATTTCATAAAACCTAAATTCATGCTACACCGTATCAGACTACATGTAGTCTACCTATAACCTACTATTACTAGAGTGGATTGCTAGGGTCGATTCACCATGTGGTTAACCATAGATCTCGCATAGATCTGGAACACAATTGTTTTGGGCCGGGGCCCAAACATGATTTTGTTGCCCCCAAAATTTAATTTTGTTCCCCACAAATTTGGACCAACAATTTACGGCGAGGGGTTCGGAGCCCGCTGATGCGCCCCCCCCCCCCCTTTTTAAAATGAAATCCGTGGCTAGCTGCATGCTTACGTTTCCTGCATTACCACGGTTGAGCCTGTAAGCGCACGTGCGTTCATCCTCCCGCTTCAGGCAATCGTTGAAAATGTTCAGGTACTTTTTCACCAAGGCATCGAAACTCTGCGCAGATCTCCCGCCATATATGTAATAATAATCCGAGTACAATCTGAAATATAAAGGGAAATCCGGATCATGTACTTATATCTGAAAATAAGTGATTTTGTTTCTAATAAACCTCTGCACTTTATGTCACTCCGAGACAATGACATACACAATCATGGCAACCACACAATCACAAATGCCAAGTGACAATCACAGCATCTTGAGAAGTAATGCAGATTTGTTCGTAGGTCAACTTGCTGTATTAAGTTAATTATGGTGGACGTCACAGGAAAGCGCTGGCTTGCGAGTTTGCATCAAAAACCTTGAAAAACGGTAGGTCGGGGGTCCAAATCCTTCAGGTTGCTGGTTCGAATCCCCGAACATTTACTTTTTTTGTCCCAAAAAGTGAATTTTATTTCTTAAATTGTGTTTAAGCAAGTCCTACTGATCGATGAAATGAAACTCACTTTTTTTGTCTGATTCATGTCACTGAAACTTTTTTTAGGGCAGTCCGAGAACTATTGCGTTTAGGTATGCGCATTATTATCATTGACTATGCAATGTATTCGGTTGTGGAAAAAAAACAACCCAATTACTTCCCACTCTATTTGGAGTGGTTTAGTAGCACCGTCAATAGCCTAATGCTCATACCTCTCGATTGGGTTTCGAAGCAGGAAGATGATTCTGGCGTTGGGAGTCAGAGCGCGGATGATGTCAGCAAGTAACACTGTCGGGTACTTTCCCAAGCCTTTCTCTTCCGACCACTCTATAGTGAGATGGTTGTCCCATAGAGAACTTGTCGAGCTGTCACCTGCAAATATAACAAGTGCAGTTGCACAATATAAGCTCTGGTGGTCTTGCATGAACGTCTATAACGTTGACCGGAGATTGTGCGTATATCCGTACCCAGGCCGCGGCATCCCACGCGCCGTCCCACGCGCCCTCGAGGCCTCCCACGCGAAAAGTCCCCGAAAATTGACCAAAATGTTGACCAAAATAATTTTATTGACCAAAATATGATCCCATGTGTACCGTAAGAGGGCTCAATATTTACCCATTTTTAAAGCATAATTTCTACATTTCTCATTAAAATCCTTTCAAATTTAGTACAAAAATTCTTGTAGTTGATATGCATCTAAAACAAGGTTGTCATCATGGAAAGTCATCGCTATAGAGGGCACTCACTATACCCACTTTGAAGAATGTACCATTAACCGACGATAAAAGTCACCACATTTCATGCCGATCGACAAACGCTTCATGGGGAGATATTGTTTCCCCCAATCCGAATAGGGTTATACGTTTACCTGTTACGTAATTGTGGTTGTTTGGATCCTTCCCCTTCTCGATGCACTCCTGAAAATGGCCGAAGGATTTTTCGTAGAGCTTAACTGAAAAGAGAGACAAAATTATACAAAATTATAAAAACAGGGAAAGACAAGCCCACATTCTCTTTTGGGTCAGAGAGTATAATGGTCATTCATTTGACTCCAGAAAACGGCGACAGCTCGATCGTAAATGTTGTTTTTCCCATGGTTGATGCAAACTGCGGTGGACTGTTGATTCAATCTAAAAGGTCCCTGATCAGATTGTACCTAAAACTGTTCTATTTGGCCTACATGTATAATACTTTGCCGAGACAAAAATCGACACTTTGCCGAGTCAAAATCGACACCTTGCCGAGTCACAATCGAACTCTTTGCCGAGTCAAAATCGACACCTTGCCGACTCACAATCGACACTTCGCCGATTCAAAATCGACACTTCGCCGATTCAAAATCGACACTTTGCTGATGAGTCACAATTGATACTTTGCCGAGTCACAATCCACGCTTTGCTGAAAATATCACTAGATGAGCAGAATTGGCTGACGGGTCAGGCGTTTAACAAAATATTGACGGCACCAACTCAGCTGCAATAAAACTAGCCTTCCTCTTGGTGATGAGGGGAGACGTGTTCTAAAGACGCTCCATAGATCACCTTTGGAGACTACCGTGTTACTATACCACCTTACAAATTCGATATTTTGTAGACTATAACTACTGGGAGGAGTTAACGCAACAGGAAAGGATAGCACAAGAGATTACCAGTGTTGTAGTCGAGTACTTTTTTCCCGAGTACCGAGTACTGCCGGGTATCTAGGTTGTCGAGCACGAGTATGACTGTGCGAGTACTACTTGTACCTCCGAGTACCAGTACAGGTCTCCACGAGTACTTGTTCTTCTAAGTACGAGTTCGAATACGAGTATACTTGTTCTTCCGAATACGGCCATACGGCAAATGGTTCATTGTGCGTAATTGGCCCAGGCCCAGTCAGACGATGATACAGACCCATTCACTGCTAGATAATGTTGAATGTGTTTGTCCGGACGTGCACAGAGGAAAGTCAGGAAACTTCGATTTCTACACAAGCCAATCAACTATTTCAGACTGAAAGTATCGATAAAGTAAGGCCATGGTAAGACAAGCTTTACCATTTTTTTCCACGACTACTGCTATTCGAGTACGAGTACTTTGATGGTCGAGTACAATTTCAACATGTCGAGTACGATACTTTGTTACCCGAGCACGAGTACCGTCATTTCCAGTACGAGTACTTTGACATTCGAGTACGAGTACGAAGACGAGTACTCCAGAAAAGTACTCGAGTAGTACTTGAGTACGAGTACGAGAATGAGTACCACAACACTGGAGATTACAGGAAATCAGTTCAAGAGAAACAGTTACAGTAGGTTAATGCCAACATTACTTACTTGAGTGTTTCTTGTCACGGGTCCACCAGTGCGGCTCCTTGTGCGTGGTGAAGAGCATCGGATGCTGCTGCAGGGAGTACCAGAAGTCGGTGGAGCCGCTCTTGGCTCCGGTCAGAATGTGGAAGTAGGGCAGGCAGTGGGCCTTGCCGGGCTCCACACGGCACGGGTTCCGGTAGTCGGGCGAGAACGGCCAGTAGGCGCTCCAAATCTGCCGAAAATAAAAGGAGACATCGGTAAGGCCAAAAAAAAAAAGTCCCCGGTTTCTGGTATGCGCGCGCGTCGCCGTAGCCATGCGCGTCGGCAAAATGAAAAACTTTGTTTTTCAATGAAAGATGATGTCTCAAAACCGCCAAACTCACTGGTTTGACTGGAATCCTGCTGCTGCACAATTGTAACGTGTTTTTAGATTGGGTTATGGTCGAGAATAAGCTTTTGGTGGCCTCTCTGGACTCCCATATATTTGAACTAAGTTTAGTCGGGCACCATTTGCTGTCATCAGCACACATTTGAAGCAAAAAAAAATCAGGTAAAAAAAAAAAAGCCGCGTCGCCGCACCACTTTTTGGGCAAGCTCCATACCAGAAACCGGAGACTTTTTTTTGTGGCCTAACTGAGCTTTTTTGGGGCATATTCAGCTGCACTCCATCGATACAAAAATGACATTTACTATTAAAAGTTGTATTATATATTTGTTAGCGGGTTGCATCAGATGCATCAGACACAGTCATCCAGATCTGTCTTAATGAACACTTTCTAGACCGACTTTCCAAAATCGCGCCGAAATAAATCATTCGAAGGTCTAAACATTTGAACCAGTTAGGAACGACTTGTACAGTCGATCAAAACAACTCCACAGAGTCCATCCGATGGCGGGTCTAGCTTTCAGAAAACATGGGGTGGGGAGATTTTGATATGAAAGGGGAAATGGGTTATATGAGCGGGTGGTATAGGGGGTTAAGGGGGGGGGGGGCGGTATGCAGAAGGCATGCCCTGCTCGGGTGCCTCAGGACAAAAAAAGCATAGTCTATTTTTAAGTTTCGAGACTTTTGAAGGCACTTTTACAAAACGTGACATCCCCGTTCATTTTTTTATAATGTCTAATGTCAAAAGATGTAAAATATAAGAAATAAACAAGTTGCAGCAAACTTATTTTCCGAATGATATTTTGGCCGATCTTGATTTGTGCGCACGCCTGAAATGGTCGAAACTGGAATTGTTTCTGTGAAAATAAAACATATCGAGTCCGATCCTTTCAGTGGCGTAGCCAGGAATTTTTCAGGGGGGGGGGGGGGGGGGCTGGGGGAGGGGGGCTGGAAAATTTCATGGGGAGTGTCATGTAGATCAATGATATTTTTTTTTAGAAACTCAAATTTTCAGTGGGGGGGGGGGGGGGGGGCGGCTAGGGGGCGACTGGGGGGTGGCAAGGTTTCATGGGGGGCTTTCGCCCCCCCCCCCCCCCCCCCCCCCCCCCCCGTTGCTACGCCACTGGATCCTATTTTCTTCGAGAAGAGAAAGAACACCTACATGCGGAATATACTCCTTGATTTTAGCCAGCAGCTCCTCGTCAATTTCCTCGACTGCGATGGTGGAGGTGTATTTATCCCTTGAACTCCACTCGTAAAAGCCCGTGCTTTGATCTATGTTTGCATGCGGGTAGTTCTTCACAACGTACCCGTGTCGCTTCGCCTGCTCTGGTATGTTTCCCTCGATGATCGTCGAGCAGGTGTATTTCGATTTCTGAAACACATAGTGTCCGGTTTTTGAAAAGTGAGCCTCGGCTGATAAAGATGCACCTCTGGTATCGATTCTAGCATCCAGTTGGGATACACTGCTGTTGTTATTTGGTATCGATTCCTTATTCGGTATTGATTCCTTGTCCGGTATCAATTCCTTGTTTGGTATCGCTTTCTTGTCCGGTGTCAATTCCTTGTTCGGTTTCGCTTCGTTGTCCGGTATCGATTCCTTGTTAGGTATCGACTCCTTGTTCGGTATCGATTCCTTGTTCGGTATCGATTCCGGGGCTGTGCAGGAGCAAGGCTGTTGTGCGGGAGCGTCGTGACGCATGTGCAGATCTCTGGTGCCGGTGTGTGTACTCGCGAACTGTATCGATACCGACAATCCCATAAAGCGAGCAACGACGACCAGACAGACGAGCTGTACGCCGAAAAAGAACAAGATGTACTTGTAGCGCAGCCGTTTGGGCTTGAAGGGAAAAAAGTGTGGAAGTTGGATTAGCTATGAGCCAAACAATTCAAAATTAATCAAATTGTAGGGGGAAAAATGTTCATGAATCTTCACAGTGTAGGAAATCAATGTGCACATTATATGTGCATGTACTTCAATTTTCATCAATATATATGACTTGAAGCTTTGCATGGCGGATGGGATAAAGTAGAAAGAATACGGATAACACCATGTGGAAAGTAATCTCTTCTTGGAAGAAAGAAGTGTGGTTCTGAAAAAGAACGGGTTGGTTGAGTGTAGAGCTCTACACTCAACCAACTGGTTCTTTTTTTTCTTCAAATGAAGCAATGCATGCAGTGAAAATACACTCTAAAAAAGTCCCGGGGTTCAATTTGACCCGATACTGTTCCGGGTCACACTTCTCTTTCAACAAGGAAACAAGGAATCCTGGTCAAATCTGACATGGCACCCTTTAGAATATAATGGAAGCTGGGCTGAAATGTACGTCTTTTTGTGCCGTCTGTTCATTGGCTATAGCTGTTGAATACGTATTGACAAAGAGAGACAACATGTAGAAGGACCACGGCAAATACAAGGGCGGATCCGGGGGAGGGGGCATGCTCCCCCCCCCCAAAAAAAGAAACCATTTTTTTTAATGTGACGTCGCATTAAGGCAGGCAATGAGTACACCACCATCTTTTCCTCAAAAGCGGGCCCCAAACCCCACGCCGTAATTTTTTTGACCCACTTTTTGGAGGACCAACATTTTTTTTGCCCCCTCCCCCCAAATTGTGTTCTGGATCTGCCCTTCATACCTGAGCATTGCCTTGCAATTGATGAGTTAAAATCGGTGTTTGTTACTTTCACCTGCATCTCACAACTCTTACCATTTTGAGTCTCGTATGCCTCGGCCAATACCCCTTTCACTGCTCCAAAGATAAGACGGCGCTTGTCTCGTACTTGAATTGCTACAGTAGGAAGATACAACAAAATTCCGAATGTCAACATTAATTGGTAAACGGTAGTTCAACAAAACTCTATCCAACCTCTGCATCCACACACCAAATCCTAATTCAAATGTTTCATGGTAGATTCCACCCCCGGACTTCTTTGTATACATGTAGAAGGTTTGTATATCCTCCTTCTCATGTGGTCATCCCACATGAGAAGAAATGCAAATAACTTGGAGTCACCATCACTGACAACCTAAGCTGGAAGACTCAGGCAGGATCAGTCAGAGCCAAGGCTTAAAAAATCGCTTGGGATCAGATGCCCTTGGAAAATGCAGCAGGGATGTCAAGGAGACAGCATACAACGCTCTAGTGAGGCCACATCAATTTGCCACAAGTGCATGGAACCCAAACACAATCCGCAACTGAACATCAGAATAGTTGAGAGTGCCCAACGCCAAGCGGTACGTTTTGTCATGAAGGACTACCACTGGGAATCGAGTGTGTCTGACATGCTGACATCACTGGGATGGGACACCCTACATGACAGACGTCGCCTTCATCAGGTTGAACTCCTCTACAAAATTCAACATGGCCAAGTAAATATAACTACTCCTCCGAACATCGTCCAAAACACACGATCAAGCCTAGTCCGAAAATTTGGGACTCTCAATACTGTGTATGAGAGTCCCAAAACGTAAGGTATTGAAAACATGTAATACCAGAAAATAGACTGGCACATGAAACAACCAGTCCAACAACTCTTTATAGTACTGCATCTATCAACTGTCACCTGACTGTGCCAAAAGAAATATCTAGGATGACGGGTACTATAGGTCAATATTTCTACACATTACTCCTTAGTCAGGCACCAGACTAATGACAATGAAAGAAGAAGTCAGTCTTGTCAAACAGTTGGACTATGGATGGACATGTAGAAGTCTAGTCTTTAGCCTCTTTCTGAATAAAAAAGACTTCCCTCTCTTGTGCAAGCCACTGCCAATTATTGAACAAAAGTCTCCTTTAAAAATTGAATTGAGTCTTCAAACTTGGTTGGTGGAATACTGAGGAACTTCACCCACAGGCAACTACTCGCCAGAGTTGACTGCTACCTCTAGAGCCCTTTCCCATGAGCTGTTCGGATTTGGAACAGGCTACCAGTGGCTGCGGTTACTGCAACCAATCTGAAATGGTTCAAGACAGAAGCACTGCCAGCTATAAGAGGGATGGAGCTACCAATCTCTCTCAGGACAAATGGACAATACCACCATCCGATAAGCACCCTAACAGCACATGCACAGATAGCCCCATAAATGTGGCCTATTTACTGCCTCCGTAAACATAGGCCACACATCCACATGTACAAAAACGTGTTGCACTTTGCCAAATTTTGATTTTCACATTTAGGCTTAGTTTGTAGGGTTTTTTTGCTTTAGAAGCATACTCACCCTCTTTATAGGCTAATCAGAAAGTGCTGCCTTTTTCAGATGTCCATTTTTCGTGAAATTTCCAGATACATTTGCACACGTTTGCGTATCAAAATTTCAACATGAAATTTCACAAAAATTAGACATCTGAAAAAGGCAGCACTTTCTGATTAGCCTATAAAGAGGGTGAGAATGCTTCTAAAGCAAAAAAAAACTACAAAGTAAGCCTAAATGTGAAAATCAAAATTTGGCAAAGTGCGACACGTTTTTGTACATGTGGATGTGTGGCCTATGTTTACGGAGGCAGTCCAGTAAATAGGCCACATTTATGGGGCTAATGCACAGAGCACACATGGAATTGCAACCCAACCTCTCAAGACCAGCAGCAATGCTTGTAAAAGAGTACACCAATGCAAGATGCAAGGATGTCCAGTATTTAAAACCATTTGTGGCTTACTAGACTTTGTACATCACCCGTCCCATACACCAGAGTAAGCTTCCTTTTCGATCTCTCCAGAGCAATGTGGGTGTACCCGGTACATGTGCCAAGTAAACGAATACATTTTAATACTCCAGTCGTTGGAGGCTTGCAATAACGGCAAGAACATGCATGTATAGAATATCTTCTCTCGGTCTATGCGTCCCCAAATACTAGCTCTTACCTTTAGTGCTGCTTTTAAGGCCAGTAGATAGTAGAACTGAAATCTAGATCCGGATATCTTGAAACTGGACTTACACTTTGCTATAAAACACGGAATACGAAATATCGCCGAAATATCTGCAGACGTGGGAAGGTGAACGACTATTCGTTTCCCCAAGGGCGTTTCATTGTGTACATCACGCCTCAGCGATCAGCGATCGTTGTGGAGTCAACAGAACCCCACCTTTTGGATTGAACGATTACGTAACGTGAACAATGCGCTGAAACAGCGTGGACAGGCAGGTAGTGCATAGCCTCTACTCAAGTCGGAACTCTCTGCGCTGAGCAAATAATTGTTTGATTGGGACAATCATGCCAGTGTGTACTGGTCTGGGCGCAGTTCAGTAAATAGGCCCGGAATTGCCTACGCCTGCCAAATCACGATTTGTATGGCCTCAAATTCTCCGGTATTAGAGCATTTTGACGGCCACGAAGTTTAACCCTAAAATGGCAGGGGGGGGGGGGGAACTCCGCCCCTCCCTCGTTTTTTTCCGCAAAAGCCTTGATTTTTTTTTTCGCGACCCGAGCTGTTTTGACTTTTTAGCCTCGAGCCTTGCACATCTTTTGATACTAAAAACATAAAAATCGGACCGCGGGTTGCCGCACAGCGATACATTTCCGGCCCTACGCGCCGTGAAAACTGAATTTTCACATGTACGGTGTGTACACAGAGCGGAATTACCATTCGTACATATGAACAATTAATTAGCCATAATTCCATAACCCTTTGACCTATAGTAATGATGACCTATAGTAATGAAATTTCCTGAGTACATTTATGAGAAATTGCTCTATGCATGTACCGAGTTTCAAAATGTTTCGTCACTCGATGGCCGAGATCTTTGGGGCGGGGGCGGCGGAATCCCCCCCCCCCCACCCCCGGCTGAGAGATGGTAAAAATAACCCGGCCATTTTAGGGTTAAAGAAGGGTGCAAGCCGTACAACGAACTACGAGCTCGTATTTCTGTGATCGAGGCCCTAAACTTGTTTATTTTGCCATGGAGTGTACGTGCAGGCTTTCTTTATCAAAACGGCGATGGGCTTCAGGACTACTTTTAGGGGTGATCATTTTGGATGTAATTTTCTTCAAAATGTCATTGGTGACCCCCCAAAAATTGAACAGACAAATGAAAGATGAAAATAATCTTGAATTACATGTGTGTTTTAAACCCCTTGGAGAATTGTAAGCATTTTAAATATGTTTTATTTTTTTTCCAAAATGCGCATAATAATCGCTGAGGTCTATGGCAGTCCTATCTACACCATCTGATGATGACCATAGTATAGGCGCTTTCATGCCGATATAACCACGGAGGAATGCGCACGCGGGATCGCTGTCAATTATATGAAGGGGCGTGTTGGCTCTTTGAGGATACATTGTTTAAAGGAGGTTAAAATAACTGCCCACTTAAAAAAAGAAAGAAATAAAGAAAAAAAGTTAGCCTCATCAAGAGCTGAGTTTGAGAACTATAGAGGGCGCTTTTCCAGTCAAAACTACGAGAGCCGATGAAGGACTCGACAATACAAACGGGTTCGCTCTGGCGTGTTTGCTTTTAATTTCAATTCAATTCAATTCACTTTATTTCCCACATAAAAAAGACAATCTGAGTTAAATGTACACAAACTTGAAC